CCTGTCACTGCGCATACCCCAGGAGAACATGGGGGGCATTTCCCCCTGGGTCTGCATGCAGGGCAATGGCAGACTGCTGCTGTGGTTTGGGGGCAGTGCTGGGCTCTTCCTGATGGGGGGTTGGGTCAGGGCTGTACTCAGGGCAGGTGGCAGCAGTGCTGGGAGCAGAAACTACTGTGAATTCTGTGCTGGGCGCCCCCCCCCCCCCCCCCCCCGGGGCACTCCACAGCTCCACAGACTAGCAGCTCGTGGCTCCATCCCGTGCTCTGCCCCAGCCTCACTCCCTCCTTCACTGCAGGGGGATCAATCTGCACCTCCCCCCGCTCCACACCCTGTGTCTCCCCTCACCCCTTCCCCCACAACAGACTTACCAGCTGGTCACTGTTCTCCAAGCTTCCTGGCTGCATATTGGCATTTGGATCCGTATTGGCAGATATGGCTCGTTAAAAATTGACCATTGGTATCAGCCCAAAAAATCTCTATCAGTGCAGTGCACCCCTAATAGGAATTAAAGGAAAGCAGGGCTGGAAGGGACCTCACTAGGTCATCTAACTCAGCTCCTTGCCCAAGGCAGGATCCCTGACTAGACAGTGAGGTATCTCTCTAATATGCTCTTGAAACTTGCAAGGAAGGAGGTTCCACAGTTTATTTAAGTAGCCTATTCCAATATTTTACCATCGTAGTCTGAATGTTCCTCCTAATGTCTACTCCAACTTTCTTGTGCTGTAGTTTGAGGCCACTGCTCCTAGTTCTGTCCCCCATGGTCACAAACAAAAGCTCATCTCCATTGTCTGTAATTGCCCTCCAGGTATTTGAAGACTTATCAGATTCCCCCTCAGCCTTCTTTTGTCCCGACTAAATAATGTTAGTTCCTTCAGCCTTTCCTCACAAGCCCCTGAGACCTCATCTGATGCCTGTAATAATTTTTGTTGCTCTGTGTTGCATTCTTTCCCAACTGCCCACCTCTTTCTTGAAGTGTGGAGCCCAAAATGGGAGATAGTACTCCAGGTGAGGTCCAGTGCTGAACAGAGCAGGGGAATCATTTTCCTTGATTTGCAAGTGACACTTACATTAATACAACCCAGTAAGCCACTGACTCGTTTGTTTGCAATGGGAGCATGCTGCTGGCTCATATTCAGGTTATAGATACTGTAACTCCCAAGTCCTCCTTTTCAGTGCTGCAGCCTAGCAGTACTGGTTCATGTCAGTCTGACTGTAATCTTTTATACCTGAAATTAAAAGCTCTGTTTCATATAGGTGGTTGGTTGAATTTTAGTGCTGTGACTGAACTGTAGAAATACCTAAGAGAAAGTATAAAAGTCTCTTAAAGATAGAAAACAGTTTGTCCACTAGATGGTGCTATGTCACCTGTTCAGTTGTATAGCAAGTTGAAAGCATCCTTGATGCTCTTGTCCAATGAAAATTTCCCACATTTTTTTTTTATTACTGAAATGAAGTCATTAATTTCCCTTCCTGCATCATACAGTGCAGCAGCAATATGCAACCCCTCACAAATTTATTTATTTATTTTTAATGTTGATTTAAGGCATTTACAAATTAAATAATGAAAGCTGAGTGTAGGAATTAACATCTAAGTTATCATGTATAAGCATGAGAACTTCAATTTCCAGCAATGAAAATTCATTCCATTGTAGCCGGTTGAAATGTATTTGCTTCCTCTGTTTTGCTTCTGGTACCAAATTATGCGGTCTGGTGTCTGGGTGCATTGGTGGTAAGGCAACATATTGGAGCCCTGTGTCCTGTGTGGCGTTCTTCTACCCCCTCAAATTCTAGGATGGTAACATACCTGCTTGTGTTTCTGTGTCCAAGTTGTTCATGGGCATACTTCTGAGGGGAGGCAAGAGTGGTGGTGCACATTTAGCTCCTTTTTGGAGCCTCAGTAGAGCATTATCTCTAGCATTGACCATCCTGTCCTTTACCAGCTGCATGATCCTGAAATTCTCTGCTTATGGAATACCTTGGAATTTACACCCCTCCTAGCTCTGATAGTTAGCAAGATACTGCCTTTACCTTTCTTCCTTATTTCTACAAAGAAGTAATACTGAGCAGGTGATAGGGATTCAGCTAAAAAAGAGGCTTACCTAAATATATATTCTTTTTGTTTCTGTGAAGTAAACTATTAAGCTAATTTGACAGATTTCAAGCCAGAAGGAATAGTAGGTCCTATGGGTCAAGGAGAATGCACTTAGTGATTCAGGATGCCTATTTTCCAATACAGGCGTGTCGCATCCTACACGCATTTAACTTGCGTGAATTCAACTATACGTGGGGTGGGAGGGGGGCGGGGCTTGGGTTTGCACGCATTGCTGCCGCTTACCTGGAGGCCCATTATGGCGGTGACGGCCACTGCCTCCAAGACCTCCCGCTATTGCCATGGAGCCATGCCCGGAACTGTGTGGCTGGCCGCCGGGCGGCAGCGTCAGTGTGATGGTGGCTGGGTGGCACGCAGCCATCCCCACCATCACCCCGTGTTGCACCGCTGCTGCTGGCTGCACAGTACTAAGCATGGTGCCACGTGCAAACTCAAGCCCTGCCCCCCTTCCACCCTGTGTATAGTCACCGATTTTCACCTTACATGATTTTCACCTTACGCGCTGACTTCAAAACCTAACCCCCGCGTAAGATGCGGTTCCACTGTACTTATTACTGTTGCTTTCTTATGCCTTATTTCTTTGTAAATGGAAGCAGAAATTCTAACGTTATCTTGACAGACAAGGTTATTTGGGTAAATCCGATATCTTTCATTAGACCAACTCAAATAGTTGGAAAAATTCTTTTTAGCAAGCTTTTGAGCACAAACACCCTTCATCAGGCTGAGAAGGCGTCTGCAGATGGTCTGTGCTCTTCCTGGATGGAGTGGTAAAGCAGGCCAGTATTATGCAAGAAAGCCAGCCAATGAAAATGTAAACTGAGGTGGTCAGTAGGTGAGAGACAGGTTGGGTGCGGAGGGGGGGCAGGAGGAATTAATGTAGCTGTAGCCAAAGGCTGGGAGACAGAAGGGTGGCCAGGATGGGAATGAGGATAGCTAGTAGAAGTCGTAGATGTTACCAGCATATATACTAGCATCCCACACCAGGATGGCATTCAAGCCTGCCTTACGTACCTGCAAGAACAAGATTGCAACTCAGAGTACAGATCCAAAGATATTACCCAACTTATATACTTCATTCTCACACACAACTTCACTTTCAATAACCAACACTTCCTCCAGAACAGGGGCACAGCTATAGGCACCAAAATGGCCCTGCAGTATGCCAACCTTTTCATGAGCCACCTAGAAGAAAAATTCCTCAAGGACTGCACCATCAAACCTTTGCTATACTTAAGATAGATTGCTGACATCATCATCATTTGGACTGAAAATCTTCAATCTCTGATTGTTTTCCATCAGAAATTCAACATGCAGCACCCCTCCATCAGACTATCTCTGGAATACTCTAACACCAACATTCACTTTTTGGACATGACAGTCACAATCCAGAATGTTACAATACAGACCACCATATACAAGAAACCCACAGACCAACATACATATCTGCATAGAACCAGCAATCACCCTAAACACACCAAGAAAGCTGTAATATACAGCCAAGCCCTCTGATACCATCGAATTCACGTTGAGGAGAACACACATCATCGTTGCCTCACAAATCTCAAAAGGGCTTTCATTCAACAAGGACACTCTTCCATGGAGATAAATGACATTTTTGAAAGAGCCACCCAGATACCACGTGAAGAATTGCTACAATACAGGATAAAAAAACCCATGCATCATACACCACTGGTTATGACATACCTTTCTTCCTGGGAACCTATATGGAAAATCCTCAAATAATTACAACCTGTACTAGAAGGAGACCCAATTCTCAAAGACATCTTCCCAGAACCACCCATCCTATCCTTTAAACAAGCACTGAGCCTTGCCAAACTCCTCATCACCAGAAGCAAACTTCCTACATCCCAAAATGCACAGAATGGATCCAGACCATCCTGGGACAAAAAATGTAAAACCTGCCAACATACCTCCACTACTGCCCACAACAAAACCATCACCATTCCTGCATCTTACATCTGCACCTCCAGAAATGTAATATATCTCATCCAGTGCACAAAATGCCCTTGTGACAAGTATGTAGGAAAGACTAAACACCAACTGTGCACCAGAATGAACACACACTGTAAATCTATCAAAGACAAGAACACCCAATTACCTGTGGGGACACATTTCTCACAAGAAAACCACTTTCTCTCCAATCTCTCAGTTCTAATCCTCAAAGGGAATTTACAAAATACCATTCATAGATGAGCCTATGAACTTCACTTCATCAGCCTACTGGATACAAAAAATCATGGACTAAATATAGACTTTGAATTTATGATACATTTTAACCTGCTAACATCTGACTTCCCACGTAAACCCTCCACTTCTTACCAGCTATCCTCATTCCCTTCCTGGCCACCCTCCTGTCTCCCAGCCTTTGGCTAGTCACATTCATTCCCCCTCCCCGCCCCCCCCCAAACTGACCACCTGAATTTACATTTTAACTGACTGACTTTCTTGCATATGTATCGGCCTCTGGCTGCTTTATCACTACATCCTGGAAGAGTACAGACTATCTGCAGACTCTTCCTCAGCCTGACGAAGGGTGTTAGTGCCTTGCTAAGAAGAATTTTTCCAACTATTTGAGTTGGTCTAATAAAAGATATCGGATTTACCCAAAGAACCTTGTCTGCCTATGTCCTTAGACCAACAGCTATGACCTATACCCCTGAAACAGTATCTTGATATTTTAATATATATTTTTTTAAATATAAGGTGGATTTTGGCAAGTTGAATAGGAAATACTGTAAGCATCTACTCATTACTAACCTGTGTTCAGATTTTGTTTGGCTAAATTTTGTTAGATGCACAAGTAATCGAAAGAAATGTTTTATTTACATACTATACAAATAGATTATTGCAAATGAGCAAAAGTCTTTGTGAATGTGACATTATACATCTGTGTATTCATGATATATGCGCACTTCTGATCTTCTGACACTCTGAAGTGATCTAATGCTTTCACTTCTGGTTCGCATATTTGACTTCCTAAATAGCCTTCGTGAAAATGATCTACACATGAAAAAATAAATTATTGGATCCAGACATACATTACATGCAGATAGAAACAGTGTCATCTCCTTGCAGTAATACAAAATTTTGTGCGCTGAATCATCTAAAAGTTTATCTAGATGGCTAAAAGTAAATGGTATTCTACACAAGTGATATGGCAGAAAGCAAGTGAAAAATACAGCCACAACAACTCTTATGCTCTGGTTGTGTTTTCGCTTTCTGCTGGATGAACTAATAAATTGCTTGCTTGATTTATATATGTATCTGGATATTGCAATATAACATCCTATTAACACGATCAGCACTACAACAAACATACAGGTGTTGATGTAAATGACAGCCCTGTGCCATTTTACTCCCAAGGGAGATTTGAGTTTTATGCAGTCATCTATATTTTTCTTTGTTGGGTAACCATTTGTAAGAATTAGATTTGGTAAGGCTAAGAAAGCCATGGCAACCCAAACACAAGCAGACAAGATCTTTGTGAAAGTAATGCTGTACATTCTGGAGTCTCCAAATGGCTTTACCACTTTCAAATACCGGTCAATACTGATAAGTCCAAGAAACACAATTGTGGTGTACATGTTTGCATAAAACAAAACTGAGGTATAACGGCACAGAAAAAAGTTGAAGTGCCATGGTCCCAGCTGTGAGTCCTTAATGATTTTAAAGGGAAATGTCAGTGTCATAAGGAGGTCTGCAATCACAATGTTTTTGAGGTAAAAAATAAAACTTGTTTTATTCCTGATGTGGAAAAAAATCCATACTGCTAGGCCATTCAGTAAGATGCTTGCCAGGAAGATGATGAGGTAAAGCACAGGCAAAACAATGGTTGTAAATTCATTGAATGTGGAATTCCCGGGTAGACCGAATGTGTAATTAGCTGTAACATTGTTGTGGTCCAGATGATAATCTGTAGGAAACATGGAAAGAAATAATTTAAGTGAGGGATTACTATTTGTATAAATAATCATAGCTATGTTTTACAACTTGTCGCAGTACTGCCTTTGATTGAACCCAAATGACTTTCAGGTTAACTAGTTCAGAAAACTGGAGCTTGTTGAATTTTTTAAAATATATGTACCTAGTAGTTGTTAGCCACATTATATTGCTGTTGGAATGTAGACACATTTTTGTTATTACATTGAGGGAGGGAAATATTTGTGTGCAGAAAGTAGGATGAATATCAGTAAAATGAATTATGCATTTTGAGTGCCTCTCTTTTTGGTAATGAGAATATTTATTTTAAGAATGCTTTGGTGTTTGGAAAAATCCTTGCATCCCTATTGGCTCATAATTAGTAGGGATCCCAAACATCCCCTTTAGTATCCTTGCATGTACAACTGAAGCAGAGAGGTTAAGATTTCAGTCCCAAGGAGATGGACTCCCAGGCTTGATATGATGCATCTCAGCATCGTGTGCAGCTGGGGGCTGACCTGTGCGAGACAACCTTCTAGCCAAGCTATCTTTTTTTTTCTGTCCTGGCAGATAGCTGTTACACCACTGCTTTTCTACATTATAGAGAGAACTTGGGATCACAGCCCCCATCACAAGGAGGGATAGTACTTTTTTTCTTTGCAATGTTACAGCTAGAGATGATTTTCTTTTAGTACCAGGCAAGGGCTTAGAGGATCAAGTCCTAAGTCATTTGCCCAGCTGACAGAGGACACTGAATATAGGCTAAAGTTGGAATGGAGGTATTTCTGCTCTATCAAGTGCTCCCACATCTTGCTCTTCTTGATTTTTTTTTTTTGTAATTATCAACATCAATGAAATGTACTAATACCGTCATGTTTTGAGCTAAGCTATTTTATATGAAGGACTTTTAAAGATAATTTTCCCCAAGCTGTAAGCTTTTGTTTCTTACTAAGAAGCCACTATATTAAATGTTTCTCTGATAGCTTAGGAGAAATTCATTGCTTGTCATGCTCTCAAAATTCAGAGGAGAGTTTTCTCATGTAAGAAATGTGATTGTTGAACTTCTATTACCCTTCTGAGGGTTTATCAAACAAATTAACATTTTCAGACACTGTTATAATCTTTCTTACATTACTTGGGTCCCTGTCCCAGTTAGGGTGTCATTAACTAGTTATTGCATCTTAAGTTGCAACCTGGCCACAAGTTAAAGCAATTAATGACATCATAAAAGAAGTAATAAGCCACAAAGTTATTCCACAAAAAATGTATAACTTTGTGGCCAGTTCCCATGATGCCAATAAATTAATTTTTTATAACATTGCATTGTTTGGTTTTTTTCAGCTCAGAAATCCACAGTGATGGTTTTGAAATAATATTGTATTCCTAAATAGATTCTGGCAGTAATTTTGAATTGAGAAAGAATTTTAGTGTATCTTCCCCTGCTATTTAATTTTATTTAGGCAAAATGAATACATTGAGGCATGAGATGGGGAATAAACAAACCAGGACATACTAATTTTCATGCTGGAAGTATATTTCCTGAGTGGTAGACAAGGTTCTTTGGGTAAATCCCATATCTTTTATTAGACCAACTCAAATAGTTGGAAAAATTCTTCTTAGCAAGCTTTTGGGCACAAACACCCTTTGTCAGGCTGACGAAGCATCTGCAGATGGTCCGTCTGCCTGGATGGAGTGGTAAAGCAGCTATGCAAGTAAGCCAGTCAGTGAAAAATGTAAATTGAGGTGATCAGTAGGTGAGAGACAGGTTGTGGGGTGGGGAGGGAAGGGGGAATTAATGTAGCTGTAGCCAAAGACAGGGAGACAGGAGGGTGGTGGGGAAGAGAATGAGGATAGCTGGTAAAAAGTGGAGAGTTTACTTGGGAAGTCAGATGTTAGGCAGGTTATAATGTGTCATAAATTTAATGTCAATATTTAGTCCAAGATTTTTTTGTGTTCAGTAGATTGATGAAGTGGAGTTCATTGACAAAGGGTGTTTGTGCCCAAAAGCTTTCTAAGAAAAATTTTCCAACTATTTATGTTGGTCTAATAAAAGAGATCAGATTTACTGAACGAACATTGTTTGCCTATCCTCTTAGACCAACATGACTACAATAGAGACTTACACCCCTATTTCCTGACTAAACATTCATGGCAGGGTGATTTGGAGGAACTCTGTCTAGCCAATGATGGCACAAAAATTAAGCCTCTGTGATATGGTATGCTGAACCTGCAGAATTCTAATATGTCCTTGAGTTGCATAGGAGAGAATCAGTCCCTTTATGCCGTTTGTCTTTCAGGGCTCATGTAGGACAGGATGAGACTGGATGGGTTCTTTTAGCTCAAGGATTATATTAGTTGTGCAAGCCTGTGGGTTTTGGGGATGGAGAATGGCTTGGTAACCATATAAAGGACTTGTTTGAAAGCAAGCAACATATAGTCAACCAGTTAGCAAAGAATCTGCTTGTGGATTTAGATGCAGTATACTATTGCCATTGTTAGTAAAGTTGTGGCCTTGTTTTTGCTTTAATGTTACAGTAAACATATTTACATTGCTTTGGAGATTAATTGCATTGCTCTTTGGAGAGTCAAAGTACTGTATTAACTTTTGTCTGTGAAGACCGTATTCCTATCAAACAGATAAAGGGGCATTATTTCTTTCATGTTACTGATTGGGAAAGGTGCAGAGGGCTCCGTTCTTTGTTCTACTTTGGTCCTTTTTTTCTACTTTACTGGAACAGTGAGGCCATAAAGCAGGCAAAACTTATGGATGGGAAGAAGACCCAGAAATATAAGCATACTATCACTTCCTCTTTCCATTGGAAAAAAAAAAAAAAAAGTCTCTAAAACATCTTATAGGATCATGGGCAACCAGAGATGAAGTAAACACTTTGGAAGCAAAAGCAGCCAGACATTAACTTTCAGCCACTTCTGTTACTTGCCTACATTAATGCTGTTGGGAGTCAGAGTACAGAGTTGATTTGGGCAGTTAAGACATGTCTACTGGGTCCAGTGCTGTGCCAAGTGCAGATACCTGTGTTAATTTGTCTTAGCAGGATCAGTTAGGCAGGGCAGAGCATTGTGCTAAGGCACTTAATGTTTCTTTTTATATCTGAGATAGTTGGAATATGACACTGCATTGTTCTGTGTAGACTTATCCTAATGAACAGAATACATGTTCACCTTGTGGGGGCAAATCTTGGACCAGGTTCTGCCATTTTTAAGCTACTCTACATGTACTGAACTTCTGGTGTTATGAGTAGACCAGTTTTATGTGCCAAGCTTTTCTGTTCTGTTATGCATATAGATCAGTTTCTGATCACTCATACCCATAAAAGTGTAATGTCTACCTGACCTAGATGATATGCCTCAGGTCATTCACAGAAAGTGGCAAAGTGCAGTTTCCTATGCTTCCCTCCCTTCTCCACCTCTCTGCACCTCTGACTTTGCAATTCTTTAAAATGTCCCATAACTAATCAATGTGGGTCTTTTTTCCCAATTATTTGCTGAGAAAATTAAGCATCTTCAGTGATGCTTTGCTGAATTCTGGTTAAATGACTTGCTTTTAAATGTTGCTGTTGATAATAAATACAGCCAAACAGGGGAGCACCATAAACCTTTCTCAATTAATGCATACTTCACAGAACTGTTTTGTATTTACCTGATAGTTTCTTGTATGATGCATTGAACCCCATTCTTCTTGTTGCTTTTGACTTTCAGCTGAAATGGTTTTCAGGAGGCACGCTGACAACAATGAACCTGGAGATTAGCCTGGGCTGTACTACCTCAACTTCTGAAAAATACAGGAAATATGTGTGGGTTTGTTTTTTTTTAATAAACTAAGAATAAACAGAAGTTTTAGTATAAAGACACCATCATTGAGCAGTTCAGAAAGACAGTGGTCACAGAATGCTAACAGCTGATTGTCTGAAGACCTCATAAGAATTTTTTCGCTTAAACATTCACTAGTTCTTTACGTCTAGGAATGTAGGAATATAGAACTGGGATGAATCTCTTGGGTTATCAAGTCTATTTCCTTGCTATCACAGACAATGTTATCACGTAATCCTCTTTATACATTTCAAGATCTACTATAAAACTTCTTTGCTCCCACTACCCCCAGTGGAAATCTGGTCCATTCCCTCACTGTTCTGATTGTTAGAAACTCTCTTCTGGTTTTGAACCTAAATTTATTTATGTTCAGTTACTATCCATTTTTTTCTTTTGCCAACTTTGTCCTTTAGCTTATGTAACCCTTCTTCCTCTATTTTGTTTACAGAGAGGTGCACTATTTAAGAGTAGTCATATCTGTTCTCAGCCATTGTTTTGCTAGTGTAAACAAGCAGTGTTCCTTAAGTCTTCACATCTAAAACAGGTTCACTATTTCCTTGATCATCTTAGTAGCCCTTCCCTGCACCTGTATAATTGTGAGAAGTGGATGATTAGAGCTTTGTACCATGTTCCTGACAAGGTTTTATCATAGCCTTATTTTCTGGTACCATTACTTCCCTACTTCAACTGGAAATACCTAATGTGTCCTAGGTTTTCATTTGCCTTTTTTGTGGACTTATCACTTTGGCTTATAGGCATCCTCCTGTGCTCAGCCTGTGTATCTTAGGTCTTCACTAGTTGCAGTTGATCAGTGACATTTTTGTTGTACCCCTAATGAACTTACACTAATGAATTTCACCCCATTTCAATTGTTCTAGCTCTCAAAATCATCTAATTTTTCCTCTGTAGTATCCTAGTGCTCCTACCTACTGATAATATTTTCCAACTTTATCTGCTCCTGATGACAGTATTAAATAAGATCAATTCTAAGACCAGTACTTGAACTCCACTAGCAACCACCTTCCAGTTCAGTAGTTTCCCTTTCAGCACTACCTAGTGTTCTCTCCTGCAGCTAGTTTCTAAGTCTCCTTACATTTCTTATTTTAATCCTTATCTTTTCTAATTTTCAATTCTAGTACCAGATCATATGCTTTAAGTGCAATCTAGATAGATTAGTCTTATCCCATTTTCCCCATCTACGAAGTCCAGGTTTTTATTTAAATAAAAATAAAGGCCATGATCTACATTTGTTAAACTCAGGTTTCATGTCCCTTTTCCCTCCATTTACTTAAGTGATCTTTCCTAAAACCTTGCATGCAACTACATTAAACTAATGGGCTAGGGACAGAAATTACACATAAACTGGTATAACTGATCAGATACCAGTTCAAAGCTGTAACACAACAAATGTTCAGTGCATATAAGCCACTTTCAAAATGCCTGAAATCAGATAAAGTTGGATGGATGTAGTATCAGACTTAGCTGATTTAGGTTGAATCAGTTTACTGAACTTCTGTCCCAGATCATGAGGCTGTAGTTGCCCCGATTTACTTTTTTTCCTTTTTTTATACTTTAATAGATCCAACTTACCAAATAACACATTTAACATTCAAGGTAGATCCACTCCCCTAAAACATGACATTTTTTCAGTTCTTGGAGGTAGGTAAACAAATTTCATATTGCTAGCCCTGAATTCCAACTCCACCACTCGTTTAAAAGTTCTGTATGAGAGTATGGATTAATTTACAAATGGTAGCTAGACTTAACTACCTCATTTTGCTTAGTCCACATGAACTAAATATTAAAATGCAGTTTGTTGCTAACTTAATGACTCTCTTCATTTCTTAGGGGCAGCCACTGCAACAGAGCAGCTTCTTTAAGATACAGTAATTGGCTTTCTACCGAGCCCTTGCTGGTAGAATATCTGTCTTCTCGTGTCAGAATTCTCATAGGCTAGCTTAAGTTGTTGTACCTGAGTCACTGGCTTCACTAATTACGTTCTATCCCTGATGATTGAATACATAAATATTTGCTCCTCCCCCTTCCCCAGAAGTTGCATTGTGCCAATACAAACAAACAAGAAAATGAGCGAGAAACATAAAAAATCTGCAATACTTCATATGTTAAAGTGACTGCATAAAGAATTTACACTGTACTATATATAAAATAAAAATGTATGCTGTGGTTGTACATTCAACTTTTGAATTAAAAATAAATTAAAGATGCATCACTTAAGATACATCTTTACATTTTTAAATTCAGGAGTTGAATGCACAACCACAGCATACATTTTTACTTTATATATAGTACAGTGTAAACTTTTTATGCAATCACTTTAACATATGAAGTATTGCAGATTTTTAAGTTTCTTGCTCATTTTCTTTTGGTTTGTATTGGCAGTTACACACTACAAAATCCACATCATACTGTTTTGACACTGAACATGATGATATATGCATCCAAGATGAATTGGCAAAAAAAAAATGTCTCCACCAATTGTAGTGTAAGATAATTATTGTTTTGTTTACAATACCGAGTATGCAGCTATAATAGACTCTACCCTCTTGGGTCTTTTTGCCTACAGTACAATAGGAAATCATAACAAGACAACTTTTCAGTATTTAGAAGTAATGACTGCAGTGTCTGCCTCGCATGTTGAAATGAATCTTGAAATCACAGAGAATGAAATCCGTGACACTCCCAACCCCAGTCTTGCCTGTTTTTGACGTAATTCAGTATAATGCTGTTTTTTTTCATGTTTTTCACCCTTTACCATGAACTTCCAGTAAATATATTTTAAACTACCACTAGATGGTAGTAAAGAAGATACTACCTCCCCCCACCCCCTGCCAAATTTTAGGTGTTGTTTTCTGCATTTTAAATGGATTCTTAGTATCTGGGATGATGTGTTCAAGTAAAAAGTGAGGTCTAGGTTGGGGTATTAAATGAAATGAGATTACATGGTGGGCAAGCATTTTAGGTTTGTCTTGGGGCATGTAGATGACAACCCCAATAATTCTAGGGTCGAAAAGAACATTACTAGTGACAAGATGTTCACTGTTAATCTATCACTACTATCCTTGGTCCAGTAGGCCCTCAGATAAAAAGTATAGGTAATTTTGTATGAAGATTTTATGATTTCTGAATGGTGTCATCATTTGTACACTGAGGTACTGAATGCATGGCTTTCTAAATTTCCTTTAGAAAGGAAAGGCTCCTCTTGTGGTTTTCCAAAGGCTCTTTGCTTTGCTTTCCAAAGGTCATATATAAGCCAAAGAAGACGATCAAGATTCTAAGTGGCTGGAAACTGCCCGGTGTCACACCTCGGGCTGTATTGTGACTAAGAAAAAACCTCCCAGGCAAAGCACTATTCCCATCTCTCCTGCCATGTCTTGGTGAAATACATATTTAGGAGGGGTTCAGTGTGGAATAATATGGGTCCCTGTCCAGGCTTTACTCACGGTACCACTGAAGCTGACATGGGGCTCCGCCGCCCCTACATAATGGCTATTTGCCAACTGCTGATGATAACGTTTTGTGATCTTTAACTGTTTGATGCTGGCTGCAGTGTGCTCAGCCCTAATTCCTGTGGCGTTTTGTTCTCTTTAGGTGTATCCAAAATTGCTCTCCTTTCTCCCAGCAGATCAGTGAGGATTGCTGCATCCTTTTTTGCTAGACTTATATCTCTGGTCTTTTTACTTCTTTTACAATTATGTAAGAAATAAAGAAAATATTGCTACTAAACACAAATTTGTGACATTCTCTATTTTAGGCATCTTCTAACTATCTCTAATGTATAGAACCTCACGGCTCTTTCTCTCTTTTATTCTTAATTGAAATAGACCCACTCCAGGCTCCTGCCTTCCCCAACGGTCCTATTCCGGGTGAGGCTCCTGCTCCTGGGCTCTAGGTGCCGGGAGCCTGCTTCCCTGCCTCCTTTTTCTCTAGTACCCTCAGTGCCTTTTAAATCTCCTGCAGTGGCTCACTGGGCTGATGTCATCAGCCATGTGCCACCCATCTGAGCCCAGAGAAAGCTCATAAAGTGGCATGGTTCCTCATGGGTTTCTGTTCAGGTTAGTACTGAGCCTTTCCTTCTGACCTGGGTTCCCTCCAGACCGGGTTGGAGCGGGCTCCAGGGGTTTGGGGTTTGAGCAGCAGATTGAGCTGTGTTCTCGAGCCACCACACTGGTAAAACCTTCAGGATAAATTCCTGGTTAGGAGAATTATTTATTAGAACCAAACTTTATGCTTCTTCTGTTATTTGCTGCCTCTCTTTGGACAGGGTATGGATCCTTAACTGGGTCCTCAGGGAACTAGCAACAATAACTTTAAATGCCACACAAGAAATAGACAGAATGCTGGCTTTTTACTTTTATTATATCAGATATTTATACATGAGGAAGAGCAGAGAATTACCTGTGAAGAGCAAGGAACATGGTCTCCTTTTTACAGGAAGCCATTTATTGACATATGTCTTGAATATCAGTGCCCTTGTTTCCTCAATTTGTTGAATAAACTGTTGTTGCATGAGGATGCTTCTTAGATTTCCCTCAATTTATTCTTTTAATTTGGATCATTCAGTATTCTCTCTGCTTCTTGGTAAAGACAGCCAAATGGCAGGCCAGGATTTACTTTAAGCAGAGGTAGGAGCACCAACCCTGTAATTAAATTCTTAAGCTCCTCCTCATTTTGAACCAAATTCTTACTTTTGTTGGGACACTATATTCCAGTGTCCTATCAGTGTGGCTATTCACATTGCAGCTTGGTCATGGTCTGTTGCCTTACTTAGGCCAGTGGCTCTCAACCTTTCTGGACTCCAGGCACTCCTCCCTAACTTCTGTGAATTGTGTAGCACCCAATTTCAAAAACGAATTCATATATTGCAATATCTCCTTGCAGTGGGACTGGGCAGTAGGGTTGGGGGATTGTCCAGCCTGAGCCTGAACATTGGGGGGTTATCCAACCTGAATCTGGCTGATTTA